CGCAGGATCTCGTCAGTGCGGCCGCGACCCGAGTGAGAGGCACACCGCGCGGAAGTCGCTCCTCCGCCGATCCCTCGCAGCTCCGTCGCTTCTCGAACTTCAATTTTTTTTTTCTCTTTTTGGGGCTTTTTATTCGTTTGTTTGTTGGCGTGTTTGATTTGGCCTCGATGTCTGGGGCCGATTACGGTCTTCGTTTGATGGGGTATATGTTTTTTTAAGGATTTACGGTGGAAGCAATGATGTTTGGAAAGAGTTTGTGGAAATAGAACTTTGGAAACTGTACTCAGCTGTGACGCGTTAATTTTCTTTCCTTTTTCCTTTTTATTTAAATTACTTTGACTTTATTAATTTGTTCCAACAATGCGAAGTATGTGATGTGTATGAAAAAAAATCAAATGAAAAAAAACTTTTACCAAATGTACTCTTATTATGACTATTAGAAACTCCATTTATGAAATACACTAAAAACATAAAGAAAAGTTACAACGAAGCAAAATCGTCGACGAACTGATCGTGAAACATGTCACAAACACAGACTGAGGAAAACCACACCACGAGTGCAACATCACCAACCATGGCTTCAGAGAGGGACAAGAACTAACTCTTCTAAAAAACCGAAAAACGAGCCAAACAAAGCGAGATTCCACTCCATTCTCCCCCAAATAAGGCAATGCACGACCAAAGGGACCAGTCGGACCACGTGCCGCACGCCCGCCGCCGCACAGGTGGTCCATCCGCGCGTGCTTTCGCCACACGTGTTGTAGGAGCACGTGCACCGCCGCCAAGGGATCTGAACCGGATGTGCTTGCTTGCCGTGGTTCTTGGCCTCGTCTTGGTCTTCCCCGTCGAAGAAGGTGAGTACTTTGTGGATCTTAAGGTCTTTCTCTTAGCCTTGGTACTCTTAGTTCGGTTGAGGAAGGTTATGGCTGCTCAACACTGGAGACCTCTTGATTACGTAGCTCGGAGGAGTGGTGATTCATGGTGAGTTGGTGGTTAATGGAGAGTTGGTGGTTAATGGAGAGTTGCTGGTTAATGATTTGGTGGTTAATGGTGAGTTGCTGGTTAATGGAGAGTTGGTGGTTAATGATCTGGTTAATTTGTGGTTAATGGTGAGTTGTGGTTAATGGAGGTGAGTTGGTGGTTAATGATTGTGGTTAATGGTGTTGTTAATGGTGAGTTATGAGTTAATGATTTGGTGGTTAATGGTGAGTAGTCATTCATGGTGAGTTGGTGGTTAATGGAGAGTTGGTGGGTGGTTAATGGTGAGTTGGTGGTTAATGATTTGGTGGTTAATGGTGAGTTATGAGTTAATGATTTGGTGGTTAATGGTGAGTTGGTGGTTAATGATCTGGTGGTTAATGGAGAGTAGTCATTCATGGTGAGTTGGTGGTTAATGATGGTTAATGGAGATGGTTAATGATTAGTGTTTAATGGTGAAGCTGGTGAGGTAGTTAATGGTCGAGTTCGTTATAAATGGTGGGAGGAGTGACCTGGAAAACGAATTTTTGTCTGTATTTCCTCTCACTCTTTCAGCTAAAATAAAGAAGGTTGGGGTTGATGACCTCAGTGTGGTGGCAGGATGGAAATGTTTTTTTTACTTTGTTTATTTCTTTTTTGTTTTGTTTTTTGTTTTATTCCTCTCTTCATCTAGAAGAATTAGATGACTCCATGACATCGACGGTGGAGGAAGGTGAGTGCATGGAAGAATGAGGAAGTTTCATTCCATAATTTTAGTCCTTAAAAGCGTAAGAAAAAGATTTAGAGTCAAAACAAGATCATTTTCATTTCGAAGTAAGTAAAAAAAAAAAAACAAAAAAACTGACATTATAAGCGGCGACATAATGTATTTCTTCCCACGAAAAGATGAATCAAGGTAGATCAACGAAAGGTAACATTTCCTATAAAATGACATCTTGACGAATTAGATAATATCATGACACTGACAACCATTGATAAGATAAGAAAATAGAGAGCACAAGCAAGGGTTCACTGTGTCACTGTTCACTCGGGTTGGCGAAAGAAGGAAAGATGGAGAATGTCAATTACTTATGTAGGAATATAATGGAAGTCCACAACTAAATGAATGCAAAGAAAAAACGATAAAAACGGAAAGTCATAAAATGTTATAACAAGGTAAGAAGGAAAGTAAATTAACGAACAGTAAAAATTAGTAATTAAAAGGTTCAACAAATAATGATATATACAAATGGACACACACACACACACACACACACCACACACACACACACACACACAACACACACATATATATATATATATATATATATATATATATATATATATATATATATAATATATATATATATATAGCAACAATGAGTTAAGAAATAAACAAACAAAACAAACGAAGAATTAAACCACAAAATAGTCATAAACCAAATACAAAAAAATAAAACAAAAAGTAGATAACGAAACGCTTCATACGAAACACAGCGAACACCACCACCAAATAAAAGTCACACACCATCAAACAAATACAGTAACAACAAAAACAACAACAACAGACATATATGTCTCAGACAACGAATTAAAAAAAGAGAGAAAAGAGAAAGAAAAAAACAACAAAAACAGACATATATCATATCTCAGACAACGAACAAAAAAGAGAGAGAAAAAAGAAAGACAAAAAAACAAAAACAGGCAAATCACATCATATCTCAGACAACGAACTAAAAAAAGAGAGAGAGAAAGAAAGAAAGAAAGAAAGGAAAACAAACAAACAAACAGACATATCATATCATATCTCAGACAACGCACTCAAAAAGAGAGAGAGAAAAGAGAGAAAAAACAAAGAAAAAACAAAAACAGACATATATATCTCAGACAACGCACTCAAAAAGAGAGAGAAAAAAAGAAAGGAAAAAAACAACAAAAACAGACATATACCAGACAACGAACTCAAAAAAGAGAGAGAAAAAAAAGGTGACCCACGTAAATCTATGGATAAGATCGAGACATTCAATAACCGAAAACCACCTGTTATGAGATCTCGTATATTTCTGGCTGACACTTTCCCTCCCGCTCAGCTCGAGTTATACCCTAATAACCTGTAGCAGCCAGGTCTATCCACGCCGTTCTAGCAGTAAATATTAATTTTACGCCGAGGGGGGGAGGGGGCGGGGTGCGAGAGGGGGAGGGGGTGATTGGGGAGGGTTGGGTGGGGAAGGATGGGGAGGGAGGATGCGGGAGGAGATGGGGGGTTGGGGAGGCAGGGGAGGTGTGAGGGAGGGTGGGAAAGGAGGGAGGGAGGGGAAAGAGATTGAGAGGGGAGGGGGGCGAGAGAAAGAATGAGAGAGAAATGTAGGAAAGGAAGGAGAGAGAGAGACAGAGACAGAAACGGAGATATAGGGAGAGAGAGAGAGAGAAAGAGAGACAGACAGACAGACAGAGAACACAAGCAGACAGACAAGCTAAAGAGAGAGAGAGAGAGAGAGAGAGAGAGAGAGAGAGAGAGAGAGAGAGAGAGAGAGAAGAAGAGAGAGAGAGAGAGAGAGAGAGTGAGTGAGTGAGTGAGAGAGAGAGAGAGAAAGAGAGAAAGTGAAATTTCTCCCAAACGAGAAAACCCTATCCATGGACCCCCCCTTCCCCTCTCTTCCCCCTTCCCCTCCCTTCAATTGCTAGAGTAGAACAAGGGAGAGCAAGAGAACAGAATCAAATTCCAAACTTTATCAGGAACTCAAGAACGGGGAAAGGAAAGCTATTCTTGAAATAACTGATACTAGTCTTCGATGGACAAGAGTCGAGAAGTTGAAGCGGGGAAGCAAGCATGTTCATGTTGATAATAGATAGATAGATAGATAGGAATTTGAAGCAGGGAATGGGTACATACACGCACACATGATCTGTAGATAGATAGATAGATAAATAGATAAATAGGAAGTTGAAACAGGGAATGAATACAAACGCACACGCATGATTATGTAGATAAATAGACAGATAGATAGATGGATGATAAAACATTACAAAACATTAGGTAGATGGATATTGGTTTACAGATGGATATCGATACGTAGATCAACAGATATACGTAGATAGATCAGATAACGATATATAGATTGAACTATAGACGAATATCTTTTATTTTCTAAGGTAATGAGCCGGCGCATTCGTTACACATAACACATGAGGGCGCGCACATACACACAAACATACAAACATAAACACAGTGCCACTTAACACGCACGCACACAAACACAAACATACGAACCAAAACACACACACACAAAAATAGACAAGCACACAAACCCAACAAACACACTTTACAACACCCATCCCTTTTTTATTCGTTCAAGTGTACTTTTTCCCAAATAGACCTCAAGCAGAACAGAACCACACCAGACTTTTCTAAGGTACTGAACCGGCGCATGTGTACCCCTTTTTATTCGCTCATGTGTACTTTTTCCCAAATAGACTTCAGGCAGAACAGAACCACACCAGACTTTTCTAAGGTACTGAACCGGTGCATGTGTACCCCTTTTTATTCGTTCAAGTGTACTTTTTCCCAAATAGACCTCAAGCAGAACAGAACCACACCAGACTTTTCTAAGGTACTGAACCGGTGCATGTGTACCCTTTTTTATTCGTTCAAGTGTACTTTTTCCCAAATAGACTTCAGGCAGAACAGAACCACACCAGACTTTTCTAAGGTACTGAACCGGCGCATGTGTACCCTTTTTTATTCGCTCATGTGTACCTTTTCCCAAATAGACTTCAAGCAGAACAGAACCACACCTGACTTTTCTAAGGTACTGAACCGGCGCATGTGTACCCTTTTTTATTCGCTCAAGTGTACTTTTTCCCAAATAGACCTCAAGCAGAACAGAACCACACCAGACTTTTCTAAGGTACTGAACCGGCGCATGTGTACCCTTTTTTATTCGCTCAAGTGTACTTTTTCCCAAATAGACCTCAAGCAGAACAGAACCACACCAGACTTTTCTAAGGTACTGAACCGGTGCATGTGTACCCTTTTTTATTCGTTCAAGTGTACTTTTTCCCAAATAGACCTCAAGCAGAACAGAACCACACCAGACTTATCCCAGATAGTAAAACCACAAAGTCGCCATCAAGATCGCCGTAGCGCAGACTCATATCCGCATTTGAAGGCGAAAAAGGGGATATCAACAACCTTGTAAAACTTGCCTTATGGGCCCTTGCAACAGAGAGCGGAAGTCGGGTTGCAATATGAGGGAACTTTGAGGGAAAGCGAGTCTACGGGCGGGTACTTGGTATGTGGGATGGATGTTGTAAAGTGTGTTTGGTTGTGTGTGTTTGTTTGGTGTATGTGCTTGTCTCTTTTGTATGTGTGTGTGGTTTGGTTCGTATGTTTGTGTGTTTGTGTGTGTTTGATAAGTGGCATTGTGTTTACGTTCGTATATTTGTGTGTGTGTGTGTGTGTGTGGGGGTGTGTGTGTGTGTGTGTGTGTGTGTGTGTGTGTGTGTGTGTGTGTGTGTGTGTGTGTGTGTGTGTGTCCACGTGTCACGCGCGCTCATGTTATTTATAATTCTATTTACGTCCATATGATTGTGTGCGTGTGAAGTGTAATTGTATGTATGTCCGTATATTCGTGTGTATGTGTGTGTTCCCTCGTAATTGTGTTTATGTCATTAAACTTTTGTGTGCTGTGAGGCTTGCACATGTTTCATTTTAATATTATTTTCATTACCATTTTCCAAAACGCTTTTGACTGCTTATTCCCCAACATTTCACTCTCATTCTTGTTAAGTATAAGTATATAAAACATTCTTCTGATTTGCTGCCCATAAAACCATGCGAATGTCCTTCATTTGAAGCCAAATGAATAGTTATTTCCTCATACTTAGAACAAAGATT